AGCGCATTTTTGCACTCGTCGAGCCGCTCGATCGCGCTTCTAACCGCCTTTCGTGTGCTCGCAGATATTTTGACACAAACTCTCTCGCCTGCTGCAAGTGATGTGATGGAAGATGAGGCCTGGAGAATATATCTTTGTCGCGCCATGCGATCGCACAAAGGGGTGATGGGCTAGGAATTTGCGTCACACGCACATATGATCTCGCTGGCGTGCGAATGCACACAATAACGCAGCCTCAAGGTATCCAGATTAAATAAAAAGCGCTCAACGAACTTCAAAATTTTGATTCAAAACCATTTGCAATTCAGTATCTTCTTTCACATGATGATTTTTTCTGCAAAATGAAGTGATTTTTTAGTTTTTGTCAGGCCAAAACCATGTGTCTTGTTGGCCTGTGACCTTCGATCTTGCCGAAGGCAACCTCAAATTTTGTAAAAATGACTGATATAAAATGATTAAAACCATGAGTGCTTTAAAATCGGTTTGAAGAATTTGAAACTCGAGGAGAAAATAATGATGGAAATGAGCATTATTCACGGCGTCACCATTATTTGGTGGAAAATAATAATAATTTCGCGCTCGTTTCACTCGCTAAATATTAATTAAGACATGTAATTTTTAAAGCGATTTTCAAAAACGAAAGCTATTAAAATGTATACAAAATTATATGGGAGGGGGGTTTATATTAATAATTTTTTAATTAAATTACGCCTTTGAAATGGAGAAATCGGGCTTTTCTTGAAAAATTGTTTCTATTAAAAAGAAAGAAAAAAAAACAGTTTCGCTCACGGTCTACAACCCTTTTTCATGAGCAAGAAAAATACAAAAAAAACATCAAAATTGAAAAAAAAAAATGGTAATTTGTTTTTGTTAAAATGTGTGTTTTTTTTAATTTTGCTGATTTTGTGTATTTTTCTTGATCATGAACTTTTTACCAAAGAAAAATCTTATTTTTAAATGTTAAGAAAATTGTGAATGTGAGCTGAAGTATTTAATTAAATTTATATTAGTTTCATTAATTATCACTGGCATTTTTAGCATTATAATTTTTTAATTTTGTTAAATTATATTTATTTGCGTATGGAGACAGTTTTTATCATTGTTAATTCTTCACAGATCAAATAACTAATAAAAAAACTGAAAAACGAAAAAAAAATCATTTATTCAGGAAAAAAGTTCAGATTTGAGGCTGAGCTTTTTGCGCGCCTCATCTCTCTTTGTCTGCTTCTCGCATCCCCACGAGATTCCAAACTCATCAAGTCGTTTGTTGGCAATCCGAGGCGAAATTTCGTCCGCACACGGCGTTCCTCTCAGAGGAATTCATCATCTCAGCGACACATTTCCCTCGCACCGTACCGCGAATTAAGTTTATTTAATGCGGCAGCGCGACGAGGCGACAGGAGAGATTCGAGAATTTAATAAGGGATTTGCACGGCGAGCTTTTATTCTTTCTGCGCGCGCGTTACTCATTTTCTGCACTCCCTCCGCATGAGGATTATCTTTATTATCTTGATATCGCATACAACGGTCGCGGTCGCCGACACAATTCTGCTGCAGTGAAAGTGGTTTCGAGATGGGAAATACAAAAGAAGAGAATTATGCATGCATGAAAAAGAGGACAGGTGCTGCTGCTGCAGATTTAATTGTGCCACTAGGGAGCACAGAGCACAGCAATGCTAAATATGGAGATTATGATAATTTTAATTTCAAACAAAATAGTCACTTAATTTTTATTTTATATAAAAAATACATTATTGCAGCAATATTTGAACCAGTATAAGCTGAATTAATGAAATCACTTATTAAAAACTGAATTTAAAAGGATTGTTCGGGAAAAAAAGCTGAATTGCGAGGCCAAAATTAAACACAAAAGTCTATTTTACTAAGCATGATTTGAGCTGCAAAGAGCAAAAAAAGAAACCAAAGAAAGCGGCAGTCGGAAGTATCAGGCAGTCATCTATATTAGAGCTTGCACCCCGAAAAAAGCCAAATAACTTGATTATTGTTATTTTCTTTTGTTTGTATTTTTAATTGTAAAACTATCTTTTATTCTCAAATTTTCTAATAATATTAAATTTGCATAATTTTGAATGTATAATGATTTACCCCGGTATGGGCCAGCAATTGACCTTGTGATAGAACAATAAACACAATTTTGCATATTGCAAAAGAAATATTATGTTTATTTAATAGAAGAAATTCACGATCTAGGGTTGATTCACAGTGATTAGAATTTAAAGATGGATTTTTGTGAGTTGTTTATTGTTTAAGAAAACAATATCCTTCAAACCTTGAATCCTTGTTTTTCGTAAGCAATTAACAAACCACAAAAACCTTTCGAGGAAAAGCTGACTTTAAATTCAAATCAACATTATTTATTTAGTTTATAATTCAAAATTTGTCAACAAATTTTAATTCTGAAGAATCAAGAAAAATGAAAAATTATTTTACTTAAATGGTTTTTATTTTATAAGTTTTTGTTGCTCATCGATTCAATATATATTATTTCTCTCTATCTTACTAGCGTCATTTGGAATCGCGGCGTAGCGGCGAAAAAGTCAAATTTGCAAGAGGCACGCGCCGGGCGGCATAAGTGGAACTCGAGGGTCGCGTTAAAAATTCAGGTAGATATCGTGATGCGCGCAGGACATGAATAATTTGGGTCACGTCGCCGTCCAAGGTGGTGCAGCGAGCAAAAAGAAACCGGCAGATTTTTGCTTCCCTCTTTCTTTGCTGTTTGTCACAGCCCATGTGTTGCCGCGAGTCCATTTCGCAAAGTGATCCTCTCACGACGACGATATTGATGCTGCGCGCGCGTTATTGATAATATTCCTCCATAACGCATCGATTTGCACTGCTCTGCGTAATTTATGAGCGCAATATGATATGTGTGCGTTTGCCCTGCAGATTTCGCCGCTCGAGATTTATCTGTCCTGGCCCGGATCAAAATCGGCTCTCGGTTTCAATTTGTACAGTTTGCCCTTTCGCCGCCGTGTTTGATTTATCCTCCTCCCGAGTCTGCTTTTTCTGCTCGTCCAGAAAGAAAAACTCGTCGCGCGCGGCTTTTGTTAGCTTCTTGTTATTTATGGAATTTTTAACTTGTTTAAACTTCAAATATTTATCAGAGCAAGATCAAAAGTAAAAGACGGAGAGGGAACTTTGCTTGATCTTTTAATAATTAATTTTCACGTTTCGGCGACGTGAAATTTTTGTTTGCTTTTTGCTATAATTACGAGGAAGCAAGCCAAGATTATTAGCTGCACACAAAACTAGCCTGTTTGTTTTGCAAGCATGTTCAAGATCAATAAGATGAAATAAACCGTCGTTCTACAAATATTGCTAACAATATAATTAAATTAATATTTTTGAGAATTTAAAACCCAGGCCTTTCTTCTCTTCCAAATTTATTTACTCAATATATATTGACAAAAAGGTATTTTTGACAATAGTTTTTTTTATTCTGCAAAAATCACAAAAAAAATTCAAATTAGCAACAGGAGAATTATTTGAAGAAAAAGAAACGTAATTATATTTGCACAAATATGTCGTCTTTTTTATTTTTGTGACCAAAAGCAGAGTAAAAGTTCTGAGAATATGCTTTTTGTCTAAATTAGACTATTTCAACAACAGAAGAAAGTAGGTCGTATTTTTTATTCTTTTTGTGGTTTCTTCTCTCGCCCATTTCAACCTGGAATTGCCAATTTTGCTCTCTTTCTTTTGTTTGGCGGGGAGAGCGACGGGTTAAACAGCAGCAGCCTCTCTTTTTTTAAACTTCTTTTCTCGCCGCTACTCCCTCGCCCACACACACATTGTATTTTTAGACACCTGCGAATAGACATAACAACGAACAATGGCACACACAAATTCACACATCCACCTCAATGCACGTGCTTGCTCATTATTTTTTGCTGCTTTGCTCTGCAGATGGGCACACCACGGAAATAGAAATAAATAAATGTATTTTATATTTTTTTGAAAACAAATTTAATGTTAATTACGAGCCAAATTTATAAAAACACACGTTTTAATAATTTTTTTTCTTTATACGTTAACTTTGCGTTTGGCGAAGGAAGGAAATTATTTTCTCTTAGTTTTTAAGCATTAATAATACCCAAAATATCGTAGTCATATTGAGACTGTTTTTTAGTAGAGTGCAGATAGGATTTTATTTCTTAGTCGGCCTCAGGATTTTGTTTTGAGAAGGGGGTGCATTAATATTAATACTTGTAATACATAATCCTTTTTTCAACTTAAGTCTCTCTGGCAATCTGAATGATTTTGAATTAATTTTTTGTTCCATTTCGCTGTGTTTGACGTTTTGGTTCGGCAGAAGAATTAATTAAAAATTTTCTTATTCCTTAATTGAAACCTGATACTCTAGGACCTTTTATTGAGTTTAATCAATAATAAGAAATTATGGATTATTGAAAAAATACCAATTTGTTGTTAATTTGGTTAATTAGTTAGTGTGAAGTGTGAGTGTGTGTGTGTGTTTCTTTTTTTTTTGTAATTTTAGTGTAGTTGTGTCGTGTTTGCGTTGTTAAGTGTATTACAGTTTCGATACGTTTTAATTTTTCAATTAAGAAATTTTAAAATTGGATTCGGAAACTGAGTGAGAAAACCAATGCTTGGAAAACGAATTAAAATGTCCAAATTTCCAATTAAAAGTTGTAATTTGGACATTTTAATTCTGTTTCTGAGCATTGGTTTTCTCGTTCAGTTTCTGAATCCACGTTAAAATTTCTTTTGAAAAATAATTAAAGTTGAACCCAAAAATAAAAAAATAAAAAATTAATTGAGTGGTGCCTTCTGTACCACCAATAAAGGGCACAGGCCGACAAGACTTTGTCTTGGCCTGACCCTAAAAAAAAAATAAAAAAAAAAATTATTTGTTTGCGCGTACCCTGAATTTCCGGAATTTCCCACAAAGAAACCTGCGCGTCCGTCGTGGGTTCCTCGGTTGCCGCCTCCGATGGCCACGCCCCCATTATAAGCGATCATGTTTTGTTTTTGTTTTACTCCTCACACAGATTCCACCGAGTCGTGTATTGATTTTGATTAATTTTAGATTCGAAACTTAGAGGTTTTGGTTGAATAACTCCTCTGCAGGTATCGAATACCATGAGCTGAATTTTACCAACAACTCGACCGAAAGGTGAAAATCAAATTTTTCTCTGCATCTTTAAATTCACCCCCAATTTTCGCAGACAATAAAATGGGAAACGAGCACAGCAATCAGCAGCCGGGCCAGCCTGCCAGGTCCAAATCGCTTACTAGGGCGGGAAGCAAAGGCCCTGTTGGCCCTGAAAGCGACCTGCAAGATGACATCAGGTCTGCCTCGCCAGGTCCGAGCGTTTGTTCCGACTCGGAGCTGCCGTACATATCTTACACGGTCAACAGACCCATCGGCGGTAAATTTTGTATATAAACCTGAAAGGCTTATTTTTCTATTTCTAAGAATTAGATTCTCCAAAGCTGCAGCAGAAACACCTGCAGAGGGGCAACAAGTCTGCCACCTCGTCGCCAGTCCGAACTCGAAACCCACTGATGACGGCCAAGTCTGTGCAGAGCCGAATTCGACCAGCCAGTTTTCCAAATAAAACAACCAAGGCGCACACAATTGTGGTGGTTAAACCGGCGGTTGAAACCAATGATTTGGAGACTGATGAGGACCAACAAAGGCTGAGGGTATTTGAACATTTTATGCACTTCCTATTCGAATTCTCAAACTCTTCAAATTTTACAACATTTTAACAGTTTTTATTAAAAACTAAGTCAAATAATTCCAGTGTCTTAAAAACTTTTTAAGACACTGGAATTATTTGACTTATTTTTTTGAATGCATAATTATTACGGAAAATTGTCTGTTCTCCAGTCTATTGCATTGTTTTTTTTTGTGGAAAGTGGAAGGGGAAAATCAGACAGTTTTCCGCGACAGTGATGATAAATTTTTGAATTTTCTGCTATAGTGAATATTTTTCCAGCACACACCAATGTTTCTACCAATAATGAGAGGAACTTTGAACTTGCCCGCTGCTCGCGATCCTGAAGTGCTGGAGAGACTTGACCCTGGCGGCCTTGTGGGCCTCGGGTCACGGTATCAGCAACATTTAGCTCGGTGCTCGGACATGGTTGCAACTGAGCAGAACCAACTTGCTGCACGAATCAAAGAAGTGTGCTTAAATCTTTGTTATTAAACATCTTTTAAAAAGTGCAAATTTTTTAGGTGGATACTGGTTTAAACCGGTTGATGGGAAATTTGACTGAGCGGCAGAAACGATTTGCCAAGTTGGCGGAGAAAATTGGAAAGGTTCATGAGGTGTCGGGGCAGCTAAACAGATGTCATTCTCTCTTGAACCACTTGATTGAAAGTATGGAAACGTTGAACAACTCTCTACCCATTGATGATCGGTTAGAGCCATTTGTTTGGACCACAGGCTAGTGGAAACATATACTGAAAGGACTTGATATGATTTAAGACTTCTTCCTCCGCATCTCTAGTCGACTGTACAGCCTGTATTTACATATAAAATTCATTTGCTCATAATGGCCACCCTGAAAATAATACATATTATTTTCTAACCACAAACGTTTAATTAGATAGGTGATAAAATATTATAATTTGCCGAAATTTAAATTGCCCGTTAAGCTCCACTTTCTTCATCAAATTTAGAAAAAAGCTTGCTAAATCATGAGCTCAACATTGTTGCACAAGAATGAGTGCAGCCCTCTCACTGTACATAGAATTGATTGAGTCAAACATTTTTTTATGGAATTTTTCACATGAATTAAGGCTGCTAATTGAGTAGATTTTTTGTTTCGGAAATACAACCAAAATCGTCAAGAACCAAAAGCCCGCGCTTAATCTTTCACCTCTGAAATTTTTCATTTGATATCTGTTTGGATGTGAACAAGTGAAATGTTCCAAATCGTGCCGAGATCTGAGCTCCGATGGCGGCGATGGCCACGGTAGTCATGTCAAACAAGAAATAAGGACGATTTGCAGAGCTTTAGGTTTCTTTCTCGGTTCAATAGTGCAGCCTTAATGACTAGGCACTAGATTTTCTGGAGTAATAATTATTATTTGATAATAAATGCTTCATCAATAAAGATGAGAGAGTAAGGTCGATCGTTTATCTTTTTAGTTTCTGTAAATATATAAAAAATTATTTATTACAATTTTGAGTGACTCGAATATTTTATTCAATTCAATATTGAAACACAAAGAAAATTAAATATTTAGGTACATAGACACAATTATACAATAATATATAATATCGACAGTATTATTTGTTGCCTACGTACTTGCCCAGATAAAAGTTTTAATACAATATAAATATATTGATATCACAAGATAGTAATAATACATTTTATTATTTTACTCACAGAAATAATGGCATGCTTACCCTGCCTAAATTACAACGAAAATAATATTTGTTTGCTTGCGTAGAATTTTTAACACAACAGAAGGGTAGATGAAAAAATTTCCATTTGAATTAAAAAAAACAATCTCACAGTAACGGAATGATTCCTATAGTTTCAAATCTATGCTTGATGTAAGCAACAGCAAAATCTGTAGAGTACCACTATTTTGTACTACTCGATTAAACATTAAACCTCGGTATCCACCTACTGCGCTCGTCATAATCCTGTTTCGTAATTAAAAAAAAAATCAATTACAAGCCTGTGTACAAAGGAATGTTTGTTCGGGGACTCCTGCTAGCAGAACTACTTCTTGCCCTGTTGTTTCTTTCACGTACGTGAGGCCCTTCCCTAAAATTGATTGAAATATATCTTTAACTAAAAATAATATTCTTTCTTACCCGAAGAAGGGTAAAATCTGAATGAGCAGTTCCTTGGAAGGAGATTCGTCATCCTGCATGCTTTCCTGTACCACATGATTGACGACGTGTCTCAAATATTTCTGAAGTCGAAGTCTGCGCTCCTCTACAAACCTCGCGTCCTAAAATAAAAAGGAAAATAATAAACCTTAGAATTTAGCTCCTTTTTTTTCAAATATTTAAAAAAAAAATTAAAATGGCTTCATTTTTTATTGCCCATCTATATTATCTGAATATAAATAAAAAGTTAAATACTCGATAAATCTTTGCAAAAAAAAATCAAAAAATGTAGGGTGATTAAACGCTGAAGGACATATGGTTAGTTATTAACCTTGTTTCCAAGCGTTTTCTTGGGAGGGAAGTCAAAGTTCTTGACCGCAGGGTGCCTTCTCTTGAGATCGCGGTGTAAGGAATGAAACTGGGCGTAGCGCCGGTAGACGTTCCACTCCTCGTTCTTGATGCGTACGTACACCTGGTACACATGGTGGACGTCTGAGGTTCCGCCCGTGAGGAAGGCTGAAGGCACCCAAATGTGGACTAAAGCACCCGTGGCTTGCAAACTGGATGGACTGTCAGGGTCTAGTAACGAGTCTGACGCCTGCGAGGAGATGGGCAGAGGCCCCCTCAGCAGCTCCAGCTCTGCCCGCAGAAGAGCAGCAGTCGACTCGCTGTTGTGCAGGGCCCGCTGCAGTCGTTCGTTGAATTCCATCAACTCCCCATGCATTTCTGCAACCTGGAAATTAAATTTTATTTAAATACATTTGAGAGCTAAAAACAAATCAAATAAGATATCCGAGATAATTAAAGAAGAAAGCATACCTGGACAAGTTTCTGCTCGTATTGGCTCTCTTCATTTTGCTGCTGTCGTGTTTCTTCATCCTGGACGTACTGGTTCAAGGCTGGAGTTAAATCAGCTATGATTTGATGTGCACTGGTGCCATCCTTGTTCAGCATTTGCACGGCAGCCACATACTTTTTGAGCTGATGCTTAAGCATCTCATTTTCCCTTTAAAAAAAAAGATCAACATCATATGGCTCTTTAAAAATTTATTCAATTCGAACCTGGTGAGTGCCTGGAGACGAACTTGCAACTGGGCGACTTTGTCCTTGCTTGTGCGCTTCAGTTCGACCAGTTCTTCGGAAATTTGGCAACCAAAGGACTGCTCTTGTCTAAGGGACGAGCGCAAGGCTCTGTTTTCACTTTCGAGCGCTGAACACTGAGAGAGCAAGGAGTGGAGGGCAGTGACTGGATCTTCAGCTGTAATAAAATAAAATAAATAATCAAAATAAATAAAAAATTAACAGATTGCAAATACATTTATTATTGAGGACTAAAGGTGTAGAACATTAACTGCCAGAATATAAAATTGTTTACAAATAACTGCGACAATCGAGCTGTTAAATTCTTTTTCAGAATTAAGTTCATGAGCAAAATCTTTAAATTTTAAACCTTGAGAAATTACAAAATCTAATTGCTTCACCGTGAGCTGATTTATTAAAAGTGGTTCATCTTAGTAAAAATTTAGCTTACGAGGCACTATCAAAGATTCTTCGTTTTTCTCGCTCTTGTCAGGGGAAGGAGGAATAACAAGCTGGGCACTCTGCTTCTCCAGCAGCTTTTGAGTCGCCAACAGAGCAGCCGCAGCACTATCGAGGTCCTTAATTAACAAAATGTTATTTAAGTTTTCTTAATTGCACTTTTTTTTCAACTCTACCTCTGAGTAACTTGGCACTGATATAGAGTCTTCCTCGTCAGTAGCAGCTGCTGCAATGTTGCCATTCGGGAAAACTGGAATTAATTCCCCGACGCCTGCATTTGTGACTGGAGTGAGAGTGGCGCCCTGATTTTTGCCGCTGCTCTCGGCAGGTAGCCTAAAGCAAATATGAACAATAAATTATAATTACGTATTTGGAATTTAAGGAATAATTTACTGTGATGATGTTGGAGGTTGCGGGCTGATGGGCGAGTTGAGGCAAGTAGGTGGCGCGCTGGAGAAGGGATATTCTGAAATTTCAGAAGTCGAAGAGACGGGGGTGCAAATGTCATCGTCAAAAGACACAATGGTGGGAGGAGCTTTCCTTCTCCTCAAATGCTGCGGCCGCTGCTCATCCTCTGCGTTTGTGAAAAAAGTTTTAAAATTTAAAAAGCATTCAAATATTTAGATTTACCACTGGCGGATAACTTGATTTCTGGTTCCAACTGACCGAATAAGGCACTTCTGCTTATTCTCTCTGGATCCCCATCATTCAGCATGTTATTGTCGACATTAATGGCAAACAATACGGACCCCAAGCCTGTCAATTATATGATTAAAAACTGTTTTAAGTTCATCTTTCCAAAATTTACCAGCTGCCATCGTAGTCAAGGTTGAGGCCCTTTCTTCGTCACGCAGAAAAGCCCAGGTATGGTAATGGTAGGACAAATTGGGAGCGGCCCTGAGGAAATTCAGACCTCGTTCTAGAGAGCGTTCATTCAGGGAAGCTCTTAACCATGCCCTGCCCCGGCCCCAGTCCGTGCAGACTCTTTTGAGCAGGAGGAACCGCTCAGATTCATGACGAGTCAATGTCTCTCGGATGAACCTCCAAGGGGCTGCAATCAAATGATAATTGAATCACAAATATCCATTATTAAGCAATCAAATATCCCACCTGGATTATCCTGAGGTAGAACTCGACTTAGGCTCAAACTTGAGGAGACTAATTCAGTCATATGCCTGAAATAAAATTAAAAATCTTATTAATTATTTATTTAAAAAATTAAAGTATAGTAACGAACAATAATAATTTAATTCCTTTTTTGTATCATAGAGGAAAAGCTACTTTAAAAACCTTAAAGTGGACGCCTGACCATTTCCTGGTCTCATCTTGAGGCCGTGCAGCAGGACAGCTTCGAGGGCTGTGCACAGCACGGCCACACACGGCTCACTCTCGGTGGCCAACTGCGATCGGCCGCCGAATCGCGTCTGACAAGCCTTGACTGACTTGAGCAAGGATGCGAGTAGCTTTTGGCGCTCATCCTCCTGCTGCTGCTCCAGCGCAGAGTTGGACGAAAGAGAGCCAGGAGGGATGACGGCAGACATCATGGTCATCCTTAAAACGCTATTCACATGATGCGCCGCTCCTCGTTATCAGTCGACCAAGGCGGGCATCTTCAAGGGGACGAGACGCGCTTCTTCTAATTTTATCTCGCTCGCGTTTTCAACGAGTCATCTTTGAATGAAGTTTGACCTCGATGGGCTTGCTGCGTGTCTATGAGTGGTGGAAGAAATCTGAAATTATTATTTGCGTTTCGATTAAACAATGACAAAGTTTTGGCGAATTTTAAGGCTGAAATATTCTGCTTTAGATCCTTCTCGAAGCATGATTTTAGTACTTACAGCGATCAAAAAATTAAGGAATTGAAAATTGTTTTCCAATGTTTTGCTTTCACCTCTCCGCCCCCTATTTTACGTGATTCTGTGACGTCACGTGGGTATGATTCTTGGCGCGAAATTCTAAAGTAGGGAAATAAACAAAAGAACAGAGGACTTGGCTGGGACGCAGGCGCTATTTTGTTGATAAGAAAAAATCGTGCGTATTTCCGTGAGAAACAACAATGTTGATGATTCATATTTTTATAATTTAATCATTCTTGCCGTAATAATATTATTTTAATAATAATCAAATGAAGCAGCTGGAGGGAAAAATTATAAATTAAATGTAGAAAAATAAATTTTGTGGCGCTTTTTTACATTATGAAATAAAAAAAACATGAAGGGCCTATTAAAAAACCTAATCCATGTTTAAAGTTTTTTTTTGTAGATTTTTCTTAATAAATTAAATAACATTATCGCACGTGTCTGTTTCTTGAAAGTGGGGCAAGGTACAGAAACGACAGCAATGCAGGGGATGCAATTCTACAGCATCATTTTTGCACTGTTCATACCGTAAATGGGTCACAAGCGCCACTGTGAGAAAAGCCAGCCAAATGCAGCAAAGAAATTTTTAATTTATCCATGAGCAAGACGCAATGAGATCAACGGCATAATGCAATCATTCTGCTCTTATATTGCATGAATTAGGACGCGCTTTGCTCACATCATGTGAGAAAAAAAAATTTATAAATCACCTATTATGCATATTTATAAAATATAGCATAAGAGAGGCCTCAAAAAGCAAAATTAACTAGTTTTGCAATAATTAAAACTATAATTTTAAGAAGACAAACTAATAGCTTTAGACACCCATTTTATACCTAGTTGTGTTCAATAAAAATACTATAATTTTATACATAATATTGAATCTTATTGATCGAGGCTTAATTTTTAACAGGAATAATATGTATTCCCATAGTAATATTTAAATCAATTAAAATCATATTAATACTTTATTAAAAACCTATAAAATTCCTCTCAGAATAATTAATAATGTAACTTCTTCGTTCTGCGCAGTTGAAAATAATTACATTCAATCCAAATTTTAATATTCCTATCCATTCCCTTCCCCTTTCTGACGCAAATGTAGATAAAAAGCCTGGCTGAATAAACAAGAGTTCAATTGCTCGGCGCTTAGCACAATTAAAAAGGCTGTTGCCCTTGAGAAAAAATTAAATTTGCCTGCTTTTTTTGCCGCGGGTCGCATTGAATTTCGCGTGCGATGAAGTAAGGGCCATAAATATGGCAGACCCTTTAAGTAGCGAGAGTCGATGAATAGCTTGACCCTTGTGTGTGCGTCTGGAGCTGCCCCTGCACAGAGCATCTCTTTCAGCTGCGGCCTCTCATTTCGGAAACACGCGTGGATTTTTTGCATCCGCGGGATGTGCGCCAAGGTCGAAAGGTCAATAGACACTGCCGGGTTTATTGTTCCGTGCAAAAATTATTTATTTGCAGTCTGGCTGCCAAAAAATACGCTTTCTCGAATCGCTCTAAATCTCTGGCTCGATCTAGCCCGGCGCCTAGTAGGAATTTAAATGTATATTCTTTACCCGCACCAAAATAAACGCCAATCCTTTCACGCTAAACGATTAATAAAACTATTTTAAATAAGAATATTCGACTATTCGAAAATGAAGTGAAAAACTTTGATTTTATTTTGTCACGCACCACATTTAAAATTGCTTTGTAAAATAATTCTCTCAAGTTTAGTTGAATTTGTACTTAAATGAGTTTCAAATAAAAGAATATATAATTACATATCTGAATAATGAAATTTTTAATAATTTATAAATTGAACACTCACGGTGGATTTCATGAAAATTGAAACCAGGCGAACCTCGTTGCAAAATAAAAAAATAAATAAAAAATATAAAGCACAACTGACCCCCATATAGGTGACCTGCGGTCTGCTGGTACTTTAAAAACCTGGGGTTTTGTCGTGTCCGACCTAAAACTAAGTGGGAGGAGTTCACAAAAAATTAAAAATTAAATAGGGAGAATTGAATTTTAATAAACAAAGTTGTCCTTTGTTTTTTCATTTTTTTTCTTTGCGATGAGGATCGCCCGGTTTTAAAATAATCAATACTTAAAATTTTCGTATCGATCTGCCTATTGATAGTTTTGACTGTAAAGGCTGTTATATTCAATTTGATGTAAGAAAAAAGGCAGTCGCGCCTGTTTGAATATCGCCATGAATTTTAATTAACCCACTTCCTCTCGCTACTTGTGATATATGCAATGCACGCGCATTGTGCGCGCCAAACCGCTCGCGCTCCAAAAAATAAACGTCGGCGGTCACCAGCGTTTCAATTTTACATGTCCACGCTCTGAGGGCACCGCGCCCTAGGAAAGGAGCTTTTCCTTCCGGAAACGAGTGGTACGACGTAGAGATTGAAGACGACAAAAATTATACAATAGATTTTTTATTCCTTGATATTACAACTTTATATTATTATGGTTGTTTTGTCCACATTGTTATTTAAATACATTGTTCACATTAATTTAAAAGGATTTATTTAAAAAAAAAAAAGGAATTATTCTTAGACAAAACGGTACCACCACCAATGAGATTGAAAATGCGGCTAATTTAAAAACAAAAAATATTTAATATACTGAACTGTTCCTCCTTTGCACCACTCCTCAGTCATCAGGACAAATATTCTTTTTTATTTCTTTGTCCTATATTGAGTGAGTTGTGAGTTTGGTATTTGTTGGAATTGCGAGACAGTTTCTGTACAAAAAAAACTGCACACAACATAGTCAAATCAATGGTTTGTTGTTTGTTTAAATTTCCAATAATTGCTAAAAATGGCTTCTATTATTGTTGAAAAGACTTGACTGTGTCAATAAGGGTCCTAAAACAATTCGTGCATAATTTTCCCGTCGATTGCCTTTCCATCACAGCGAGAATTTCATTCTGTATGTCGCAGTGTGTTTATAAATATTAGAGTAGAAAATATTTCTCACTTGTGCTCGGATTAGGTTCGGCGCGCCGTGCGGAGAGGAAAGGTGAGCCCGACCTTGATGTCGTCTGCTCTTTTTATTTGCATGTAGGTGCTGCGGAGAACACAACCAGCAGACAAATCCAAATAATGTTCTGCGCTCTTCTGAGCCACCGTCAATTAATTTTTTCCAAGCGAAAATCGACCTCATTTTGTTCACAAAATTCAAATTCAAAAAATACTTATTCTATATTTAATATATTTACTTGTGTTTGCTTCAATAAAATATATTTTAATTAAATTTGAATAAAATTGAATAGATCAACTAATGAACAAAATAATTTTTTTATAAGGCACTAAAATAAAATAATCGGTGTTTTTCAATTTTCAATATGGGACATTTAAATAGAGGGTTTTTCTTTTTGTACAATTCTAATACAAGATGAAAAGAAAGGAATTGAAATAATAGCACAATTTCAGTCATATAAAATTGTTATTTTTTTTCGTATGGTGGAGGGGGTGTATTCAATTAAAAAACGCTTTTTTTATAACTCGCCTGCGCAGAATGAGAAACGATCCGAGAGAGAAATCTTGCGCGCCGTGCACCATTGGTGTTTTTAATAACGGGCCGTTTTTCAACAGTTTTCACACACTCAAGAAGCGCCTAGAATAAGTTGTGCGACCAAACTGCCACTTTAATTTTGGTGAAATGCATAATTTACTTACTTACTCTAATTGACATCTCATTGACAATGAGGCCGCGGTTAATGTGCGAGCCTGTTTGTTTTATGTGAACTCAAGAAATTGCCAGAATATTTAATTAACTCATCACACCAAGCCCACTAATTTTATTGAACAATATCATTCATTTTTATTTTAATTTTTTTCGTCTCATAAATAGAAAGTAATTTATCAAAAGCCTCAAAGGATAATTAAATTCATTACTGTTAGAAATAATTTCTTTAAAGCTTTGTTTGCTATGATTTTTCCTAAATTTTAATATTTTTCCTGAATTAAGTTTCTATAACTATATCGCACAAACTGATTTATCAACGCTGTGATACCGCAAGGAGCCGCGATATTTGTTTCCTTTGCAAGGCGGGCGAGATAAAAACTAAATAACAAGGTGAAACTGCGTCACATTTCGCTTCGCTGACGAGTGCTGCGCGCGCTGTAATTGCACATTATAAAAGAAGAAATTATGGCATTGCTGAGAAACTTAATACGCATGAGAGAAAAGCGTCCGAAAAAATTTCTCCCGCACGCTTCCTCCCTCTCTTCAAAACGCTACTCAAGATGCGGTTTAACTTCCTGCAAAGAATATAAGAATCTCTCCCGGCGCAAATTCCAAACATCAAAACTCAAATGCTCTGCTACACCCAGGAGGAAAAACTTCAAACAAATTGTGCGGTCATCCACAATAGTACCGCTCAACCAAGAGACCTTTTAATCCGTGACCCCAATCGCGGCTGATGTATAATGCATTTTGTTAAAAAAAATATATAATTAAGTTTTAACAATTTTACAATAAATTCACAATTGATTGTCAGACCTGTTTTGAGTTTTAAGTTATTGTCTTAATTAAAGAATAATATCGCTATAAAAATAACTTATAACTCCATTTGCAATCAATTTCTTTAGAAGTTTGTTGAAATAAAAAGAAATAAATTACAGATTAGTCTTTATAATTAAAAAAAAACTTCAGTTTTACAATTAACTTTAAAACTTTCTAAACTGGAATGGTTTTGAAATCAAATAAATGCAATTTTTTTTTAATAAAAAAGCTGATTTTAATTTAATATTTAATACTTTTTATAAACAAACTTTTATTCTTTAAAAATTCCATTTTTAACTTTTTTTTGGGACGACTATTGTTGTGCTGCTCTTAGAATCTATTGAGATTTCTTTCCAGCTCTCTTGCCCCACGCCAGCCGAATTCTCACACATTAAATTAATTGGAATTATTCAAGCGTTCTCCGACGCGTGTTTTGCGTGCACAGTGCACCAGCCTCTGGAGATTCTGGCGCATCTCATTCTTACCTATCGACGGGCTCGGGATACAAACATTCACTTTCTTTTTGTAACTTAATATTTATATATAATAT